CAATTCTAGGAACTGGCGCGCTACCCCCAGCAAGACACAGTGCATATAGTCTGGCACAAAGCTCCACACTATGTTAAAATGGGGCAGGTTTATCAACGGTGACACTGTTTTGACTCCTTGCACAGGCACCCCCCCTTTCAAAGCAATCTCCATGTCATTTAGCATTTGGAGCTCACTTCTTTCTGTGGGTTCAACTTCCTCAACTGGGTATTTAGTTGCCCCGCCAGCTCTCTCACCTCTTTGGAGACACCAATTACATCCAAAATACCCATTAAATTGGGTTACACCTTGCATCGGTGCCCTAGCAACAGAATCTACACTTGAACAGATACAATAGACCTTATATTTTTCAACCCTTCCTTGACGTTGTAATTCAACGCCATTCTCACACAGCTCGTTCATTTTCTCAACAAAAGTACCTTGGAAAAGTGCCATGTTTGGCTTTTCTTTCCAGAACCACAATGCGGCCAGGACCAATTTGGACATTCTTTGCTGTGGAGGGAGCTCATTAACAATTAGCTGGATGGGCCAAATTGATGTCCCACTTGATTTGAAAAGCGGGGTCCCATCTGCATTCAACGAGAAACTGATTCTTGGTCCACAGTGTTGAGATTCGGCTACAAAAGTACGATACATTGTACCATCCCAGATGTCTGAAAATGTCCCATTCGTCGGAAGGGGCTTTGTTAAATCAAGAAGATCACAGTCCTTAAGTAGCCTTTGAAGTTGCGACTCCACATCGAGAGTGACAAAAAAGGGGGCATCCGAAAGGGAAGACACAAAAGTTGTGTGACTGCACTTCGAGCATTTCAAGTAAGAATTTGTCTCAAGACTGCCAATATGCGAAAAGCATCTCGGACAAAAAAAGAAAAAAGTCATAGTGGTGCCAGTTTCGCTAAAAAGTTTATGTAGGTGATACTGTGAGTGAGGTAATATAGGTTTATCAAAAATTCTGTTAATTAAATCTATTAAGCTAGTTAAACCCAAAAGAGTCAAATTATTCTTCACAGCATGCTTTAGTGCCATTAGGAGAATATCTCCCTTCGAAAGAACCACTTTCTCAGTGACAAGTTGTGTAAAAAGGTCTCCAAAGCGTGCCTTGCAAGATGGATCAGGCTCTGTCACTGGATCTGCAGCAGGCTGCTGAAAGTAAAAAAAAAAAAAGCTTTCGTCAATGAAGCTATCACAGAATTCAGTTATAGTGAACTGTGATAAGCCCAATGAATATGAGCAAACAACTCTGTTATTGATCAGTACAAAATATCATGCCTGCTAGGCTGATAACTTTTTACAGACCAACTGGTGAGATATTCTTTAAAATGAAAGAGCCAGTGATCTTGAAATGAATCATTCACCAAATCACCGCTACGTGTCCCTCTTAACAGTGCCCAATTTACACAGACATTTTCCAGTACATAAAAGAGCCTGTGAAAGTAGTGCCCTTAAAACCTGACCATAAATCTAGTTATTTCCAGTGAAAACAAACACACCATGTCATCATCTAATGTGAGAAAATCTCCAGGGAAACCTTGCTGTGAAGCATGGTCACTTGAAAAAGCTTCCTGTGAAGAAAAAAAAAAGAAGCATTTAGTGCCACAGTAACCCAATCTGCCTATTCTAGTTAGCTGTGCTAGTTCACTCATAGCACGTAAATTACATGACAACAGACAGTGTTAAGAACATGGTCTGAAAACCTGTTGCAGGTTGTTCCCAGAGTTTATTGTCCCAAGTGATAACTCGTCTTGAACTGATTATGCAAGAGAAAACCACAGTGCCAATGCACTTGCTCAAGGCTATTCTAGTGGATGTGAATCTTCCAGCTGCACATATTTGTAGAGTGCAACTAGTGTGTAAAAGTTACCTCTTCATCCTTATCAAACAGTGACGAATCATCTGCGTCAGAAAGGCTTGCAATGCCGTCTTGAAGTGGAGAGTCCTAAAAAAAACCAACCAAAATTTATAATTTCCCATCGTAATACATAAGCATAAAATAGCATGTGTATGCTTACTAATTAACTGATAAGCCTTAGTAAAATAACTTCATCTGCTGGGGCGTGAGGCTCGCGTGCAGGAAATTTCTGTGACGGATCAGCGCTGTTCCTCTGCTCTTGTGCTTCAGGGGCTGCAGCAGGAGCTTCCATAGCACTGCCAGCTGACGAGCCTAACCGGCCTCCACTTGACGTTACCTGTGATAGAACAAGTGCGCCGATATAGTAAACGGTTTATCGTATAGAAACAATAGTTCTCGTAGCATTCTACTACCAGCTCAATTTACCGGCTCATTATCGGACTCGGGGAAATCTTCTTCACTTTCCGGACGTTCGGAGCCCGGACTAGCTATGTGACTATTCCGGCTCTTCAGTGATGTTGTTCGACTTGGTGGATCTGCCCTTTCAGTGTCGCTGTCTGCCTCATCACTCGAAGAAGGCATGCTAGGGCTGGCACCCTAGAAGAAAATAATGAGATTTGGACTTAAATTGCTGCGCTAAATTAATGAAAAAGAAAATGCACTGATAAAAAATAGCAATTTAACACGGCCGAGCACATTCGATCATTCGCGGGCAGAACTATAAAGGGTGGTAAAAAGGAAGACCGTAAAACACGGCGCAACGATCGAAGTCGTTGAGCAACATGCAGATTAATGTTGTGGACAACCGCTGATCTGATACCAGCAGGGCCCGGATCAAGCTAAAACCCCGATCGAAAGTGCCCATCCATGTTGAAAATGATCAGAACTTACGGTCGGCGGGCAAGCGCGTGCGGTGCTCCTTGGTAGCTGGAACTGAGACTTGGGATTTAAATAAGTCTTGTAGGGTCCTCTCTTTCTTTTCTTCGGACCGCGCTCCATCGCGAGGTCTTGAAGCAACAAGACGGCTTATTTCACTCCGGGACACGAAGTACAGAAACGGCGATGTAAGCGATAGGACAATGTGCACCGGCTGCCTGCGGCCACAGCGGCTGCCATATTGCATAGACACCCTGCAGCCAGCAGTCTGCATGTGAATTGATTGAAACAGCGTAGCGTTAAACAAACATTATAAAAGTAAAAAAATACTTTTAAAATTATTCTGATTTTTTGTTTACTTATAATGAAGAATAACATTTTCATTGACAAACTATCAGATCCGCAGCTGCGGTCGACCCTTGTTGCTTGCTGTGTGCGACCAGCGTTTGACCAGCTGTAGCGCACGTGTGTAGATGTTTTCTTCAGCATTGCAAGATGATTACCCACGTTCGAGTCCGGTACGAAGATGATAAAAAAATTGGAACGGTGCCAATAGAAGACGTTAAAGATTTCTTCCCCCGTCACCAGCAAGACTTCAAGTCCAAATCCCTCTATTTAGTCAAATGGACGGACGACAGTGGAGACAGCGATTACTATAGGGCCCGGATTCTGGCACTGGGAGGTAAGCCTGCTTTTGTTTGATATGTTGCCGGCGAAATGCATTCTCTTTGGCCTGGCTGACTGCTAAGCACTGTTCACCGTTAGTAACTACAAAGTATTTTATCGATAATCTCCACTAGCATAGTTCATTTTGTTAATTTACCGCGTGCAATCGCAAATAAGTATGGTGTCATTATTAATTTATGCATATACCTGAAAACTCTACGGAGATGACGCTGGTATTTACCTGGCCGCAGAGAGATACCAACAGCGTCGGGTATATCAGCCTGGAGTATATAAGGCCCTTTTGCGGTAGGACGCGCCTTTGTTTGTGGCACTGCAGCTTTTATACCTAATGACAAGGTCTATACGCTACTATTTCGCTCGCGGCATATGACGTTGTGTTACAACGGTACTTAAGCATTCACACGAGGTTCGATGGTTAATTTACAATGCAATAAAACTAATAAAAGTGCATGCTAGAGATCGTGAAATGTGCACGCGTCAGAGGATGATGTGACACTAACTCAGTAAATGTTAATGTTGCAATCCGCCCTCACGTTTTCCAGAATCGGAGGACTTCGCGGAGACAGAGGCCAGAGAGAGAACGCGTATTCCGAAGAGGGTTTATTCGCCGGCGTCTTCGGACTACGAGAATGAAGCGGAGGTAAATTATTATCTAAACCTCCTACAAAAGGTCCTGTCAACACTTGTGTAAACAGTGTGTAACAAGTTATTTTCTATTTTCGCCCAGAGCCCTATCAAAGAAAAAACGAAAAACAAAACAACAAGTGGTGCAGAGGCACGCCTGCTTCAGCTTTTAAAAAGCAAGAAAGAAAATATGAAGAGGCAGGCGAAAAATCAAGATGGGCCACATTCTAAAAAGCACCACAAAGAAGCAATGGACAGTGGGCGCCTTCAGGGGGCTCATGAAACCATTGATAACCTTGAAGAGCAGGTAGAGAAAAAATCTACCATCATTCGCCAACTGCGAAAACAAAATGAAGAAAAAGACAGGGAGATGGCTCAACTCAGAAGACTGAACATGGAGCTTCAGGACAAGGTTATTTCTGCACTGGAAGACATGAAAGGTATGAAGCAGAAAATGTCTTCATTGTACTGATTTTGTGCTGTGAAAGCATTAATGCCATTCTTCTGACATTTAGCAGTGTGTACAGCTTGTTACCATAAAACGTTCGGCAGTCTTTAAGTGAAGATATTTCGAGTTTAGACTGCAAATGGCTATTGTTTACAGCTGTTTGATGAAATTTAATGAAAATATTTTGTCAGCTCTTTTTCCTCTCTGGGCAATGCAAACAGCACGGCACCTCATGTATAAATGCAGGCTGCAGAATTATGAAAAGGATCATGGATGGCAGCCAGTCGAGCCCCTCCGTGTCTGAGGATCTACAAGACACCTTGACAGAGCGAGCCCTTCGCCCAGGTTCATCCAATCCGCAACCGAATGACAGTGAAACAATGGTATTCTATCTGGAATGTCAATAATGTGCAGCTGTCCAAATTACAAACAACTGTTCTTTTGAAAGCATGTTAAAATAATATAAAGCAAGATTGAGCATTATAGATTACTTGTCATAGAAGTTTGTCTCTGCACAGCTGAGCAAGACATTCCAAAAAGAGTTCAGTGATCATTATAGATATGTGTAAATTTTAAGCAGAACTTATGAACAACCAAAAAAATGAATTTCGTTGTCAGCAACACAACTTACTAAAACAACTTCACTAACGTACTTGTTGGACAGAAATATTAAGGAATACACTTGGCCTTGTCTGCTGCTGTTTTAGCCATCTCGTGCTGCGCGGATTCAGCACAACCTCACTGAGAAGGTGCAGGCACTTTGTAAACTGGTCTTGCACAAAGGCTGCACTTTCTCTCAATGAATACTGTGGTGCTGACACCACCATGTGCAGTTCATAGAAAGAATGCTAGAGTGCAGCACCACAAAACTGGCTGACAAAGTGCTGGTGAAATGAATAGACCTTTGTTGTTTATGATATGCAATACAGGTTGCACTGCACATGGATGCCTTCAGAATGCATATGTTCCGTGCAGGTGGACATTGGACGAGGGCTTATGGTCAAGAAAGGTGCATGGGAACATGTGCAGTCCCATCATAAGGATTCCTTATTTGTCAAGGACCTGCTAGTCACCATCTGGTCGAAAGACAACCTTAAGGAGCGCTCCCTGCATGGTTGGTTATAATACAAAAGCATAGTGTGTGTCAGTTGGTAACGGGGGAATTCGTTGTTGTGGATATCTGTTATGCAGGAAAACATTGTCCACGGTACCCTAACCGTCCACGCAAGGCTCCCCTAACACCGTGGAAGTTGGACGTAATGCGTGGTAAGTGTGCAGACAGTCTCTTGGAATGCATATTGAACCAATCTTATTCTTAGTACATGAAATCACAGCAAAGCTCGGTTGCAATTGAGTCTATTTTGAAGCCACTACAAACTTTACTGTCTGCTTTGACTTCAGTTATGAACACAATTTTACATAAACTATGTAGTTGTAAAAATGTGACCCAACACCTTGCCTCTTACTTACTATTAAATTCATTTGTTTTAGTCAGGAGTGCAGGCAGGTGAAAGTCTTAAGTCTCTTAAATGCACTGGTAGTTCAAAAAGATAGTCGAAAAAAGAAAAGCCAACAATAGAGCTAGTGTGTAGACTGCCAGCATTTTTTCATCATAACTTATATCTCTTTCATAAAAATGACAAAAAAAGAAATAGTGTTCTCTGCTTTCTTCCTGCACTATATAAATCCACACAGTTACATGGTGCGAGTGGAGAGCTGTGAAATGTTACTTTTTTAGATTATTTTTGTGCATGTGCACGCTAAGTTCGCAGTTTCCTTTTTCTAATAAATGCTGGAACGGAACACTTTTGCTAACTGGAGAATGCTTTCTGTATTGTTCAAGCCTGTGCTGCTAAGGCATATTCTAGGCCATTCAGCATATAACACTTCATTGCATCAAGAAATATGACTAAAAGTTCAATTTTGAACTTTTGTGTTCTTAAAGTAATATCGATGCTATTAGTTCTTTAAGCAGCTGGTTTCTTCAAGGCTATTTATTGATAATTTTTGTTGTTTCAGACTGCTACAGAGCACGTCTGGAGCATCAAGGCGTGCCTGCAGGAGTACTGCCGTTGGCAGTCAAACAGATGAACCACTTCATTGTTGAGAAGCTTTCAGATATTGAGAAGCTTGCCAAGCGGTAAGATAAGTGTGTTCTTTGTGTCAAAGGACTCCCCCCCCCCCTTTTTTTAAGAGAAACTTGGCCATATTCATCTGCTTGCAACATGCATGTACAGAAAGAGACTGAGAAAATTTGGAGGCTCGTCTGGCATTTTGGCGCAGCGTGGCGCAATATGGTTTTGGCAGCTCGGCGCAAAAGCGGGGAATTGTATCAAATTCGCGTAATTGGCACAGCTGTTGTACCCCTTCAACATGCATAGCTATTTTTATGTTAATGTTTTTATGTTAAATCACATCTAGACTTGGAAGAATGTAAGCCATTGTGTGGCTGACTAAATGTATAAATTCTGCAAAACATTTGCAGGGCGAAGGACAACCAGGGCGTTGCGGAAGTTTAACAGAGGAGGACCATTGGTGCATTTTCTAAATAGTGTAAATATTATGGAATGTGTGAATAAATTTTCATTCTTTCATATTTTTTTTTTCTCTACCATTGTTTTTATCTTGTATGTGCATGCATTTGAGTGTGCATTAATGTCACATTCACACTAGGTAATCCAGCCTGTGCTGTTTCCACTGTGTTGTGAAATTGCAATTAATGAAGTGCAGTGTGATGACAGCCAGCCTTCTACAGGATTGTCATTTTCTACTTGCATCCGCAGAAATGTGATAATCATGTTTATAGGTCAGCCAAGAGACTGCAATTACTACACTACTACTTAGCTTCAGTTGGCTCTCTCTGTATACCAACCACTGGCTGGCTGAAATGCAGTTAGCAATTTAGCGTCAACCAAGTGCTTACCAGAAACTAATGGCCAGCCATATTAAATTGGCTTACCAGGTAGAATGGTGACTGGCTAAACACCAGCTTTTGTCACTGGGCCAATCATCTGGATACATGCAGTGCAGCTTGGTCGAAGACCAGAGAGTCACAACGCAGACGAGCGCTTGTCTGTGTTCTTTGTCTAAGTTCGCGCTGCATGTATCCAAGTATGTATCAACTAGCCCAACTCAACCTTTTATTGAAACATATGGAATCATTGGAGTCTCAATTACCATCAAAGTGCTGACCATTTGCAACAATGTGGGAAGTCATGTGGTTACCAGCCACATTGAATTTGCTTACCAACTAGAATGAATTGGGGGCTGTTTGGAATGCAGTTACGATCAGTGGGCCAAACATCTGGAACCACAGGATTACCAGTTAGCTTCAACGGGTTAGTCTACTGAGACCTGCCGGGCAACCACGTGCCTACCATTAATTTTCAATGGGTTGACCATTTCAGGTCAACGGGTTTTCTATTCACCACCAGTTGGCTTCAACAGGTCAGCCTATTCACACCAAGTGGACAACCACCAGTATACCATTTAGTATAAATGGGTTGACCATTTAGGTCAATGGGGTTTCCTATTGACCACCAGTTAGCTTCAACAGGTCAGCCAATTCACACCAGGTGGACAACCACCTGCATACCATTTAGTATTAATGGGTTGACCATTTGAGGTCAATGGGGTTTCCAATTGACCACCAGTTAGCTTCAACAGGTCAGCCAATTCACACCAGGTGGACAACCACCTGCGTACCATTTAGTCTTAATGGGTTGACCATTTGAAATCAACGGGATATTTAATTGACCACCAGTTAGATTCAACGGGTTAGCCAATTCACACCAATTGGACAACCACCAGCGTACCATTTCGTTTTCATGGGCTGGCCATGTGAGGCCAAAGGGGCTACCAGTTTGTCACCAACCAATTTCAAATGGTGCGCACCATTGCAACTAACTGGCAATTGCTCAGCACCAGCCACACTTAACTGGTAGCCAATGGGGTCCCCTGTTGAACCAGTTGCATTGAAGTGGTGAGCCACTTGGATCCCCCTTTGGAATATAAGGGTTTACCCATTGATTCGAACGGGATAATGTTCAATGGGTGGCGAAAATCCTACTGGTCCAACACCCATTGATTTTAAATGGAAATTTTCCAGTTGGACCCATTGAATATTTTTGACTGGAATCACCTGAGGACAAAGAGGCCTCTCCACACGAGCCACTCGAACAAGACGCACTTTCCGCCGATGCTTCCAAGCCGATTTCGTTCCGCTTTTTCGGTGATTTTCGCGTGCATGTCGTCGTTCTTGGCTTAGATATGTGCTCCGGCAAGCCAGGAAAGAGACGCGGCAACGCTCCTGGCACTAACTTCCAGTTACCACGGGAAATAAAACCTCCTGGCCCTTTACAACATGCTTGAAATACTTTACAATGTCTTGCTCTTCGAAATGTCTCTCACAATACCTTGGACTTTTGCGTGAGGCGCCTGTCCTTGCGGTGCAGCCATGTGTTCCCATGTTTAAACTCCGTGGCCTTACGTGGTGGGGTAAAACATGATGATTTGCGGCGTCATTTTTGTAGCCACTCGTCCATCCCGGCGCAAAACACGAAGGCATTTTCACAACAAAAAAGCGAACATTCGGAAACCGGAAGATTCAGGCGCACGTGTGGGGAACGAAATCGCTTCGAACGACGCGCGCCCGCCAAAGCACCCGCCTGTCCGCGCGCCCGATCAGGAGCAAGTGAAGAAAAGCGTGACTGCAGCGCCACTAGTTCGCGTGACCGCCACCACGGCCGCCTCGGGAGCGGAGCTGTGAAACTGTTGAATTGTTCTAAAAACGTTGCAATGGACGGCATTCTGGCAGCGACTAGTGCAGTGAATGATGTGAAACCAAGTGTTGAAGGCTTGGTTGAAGAAAATCATTATGCGAATGAAGTTGCGGTAGACGTGATTCCTACTGTTGATCACGGACATTATGCGAACGATGTTACGACGGACGTGAAGCCGAACATTGACCATGGGCAGGTCGAATGAATGCGGGAATTTTAAGCAGAACTTATGAACAACCAAAAAAAATGAATTTCGTTGTCAGCAACACAACTTACTAAAACAACTTCACTAACGTACTTGTTGGACAGAAATATTAAGGAATACACTTGGCCTTGTCTGCTGCTGTTTTAGCCATCTCGTGCTGCGCGGATTCAGCACAACCTCACTGAGAAGGTGCAGGCACTTTGTAAACTGGTCTTGCACAAAGGCTGCACTTTCTCTCAATGAATACTGTGGTGCTGACACCACCATGTGCAGTTCATAGAAAGAATGCTAGAGTGCAGCACCACAAAACTGGCTGACAAAGTGCTGGTGAAATGAATAGACCTTTGTTGTTTATGATATGCAATACAGGTTGCACTGCACATGGATGCCTTCAGAATGCATATGTTCCGTGCAGGTGGACATTGGACGAGGGCTTATGGTCAAGAAAGGTGCATGGGAACATGTGCAGTCCCATCATAAGGATTCCTTATTTGTCAAGGACCTGCTAGTCACCATCTGGTCGAAAGACAACCTTAAGGAGCGCTCCCTGCATGGTTGGTTATAATACAAAAGCATAGTGTGTGTCAGTTGGTAACGGGGGAATTCGTTGTTGTGGATATCTGTTATGCAGGAAAACATTGTCCACGGTACCCTAACCGTCCACGCAAGGCTCCCCTAACACCGTGGAAGTTGGACGTAATGCGTGGTAAGTGTGCAGACAGTCTCTTGGAATGCATATTGAACCAATCTTATTCTTAGTACATGAAATCACAGCAAAGCTCGGTTGCAATTGAGTCTATTTTGAAGCCACTACAAACTTTACTGTCTGCTTTGACTTCAGTTATGAACACAATTTTACATAAACTATGTAGTTGTAAAAATGTGACCCAACACCTTGCCTCTTACTTACTATTAAATTCATTTGTTTTAGTCAGGAGTGCAGGCAGGTGAAAGTCTTAAGTCTCTTAAATGCACTGGTAGTTCAAAAAGATAGTCGAAAAAAAGAAAAGCCAACAATAGAGCTAGTGTGTAGACTGCCAGCATTTTTTTCATCATAACTTATATCTCTTTCATAAAAAATGACAAAAAAAGAAATAGTGTTCTCTGCTTTCTTCCTGCACTATATAAATCCACACAGTTACATGGTGCGAGTGGAGAGCTGTGAAATGTTACTTTTTTAGATTATTTTTGTGCATGTGCACGCTAAGTTCGCAGTTTCCTTTTTCTAATAAATGCTGGAACGGAACACTTTTGCTAACTGGAGAATGCTTTCTGTATTGTTCAAGCCTGTGCTGCTAAGGCATATTCTAGGCCATTCAGCATATAACACTTCATTGCATCAAGAAATATGACTAAAAGTTCAATTTTGAACTTTTGTGTTCTTAAAGTAATATCGATGCTATTAGTTCTTTAAGCAGCTGGTTTCTTCAAGGCTATTTATTGATAATTTTTGTTGTTTCAGACTGCTACAGAGCACGTCTGGAGCATCAAGGCGTGCCTGCAGGAGTACTGCCGTTGGCAGTCAAACAGATGAACCACTTCATTGTTGAGAAGCTTTCAGATATTGAGAAGCTTGCCAAGCGGTAAGATAAGTGTGTTCTTTGTGTCAAAGGACTCCCCCCCCCCCTTTTTTTAAGAGAAACTTGGCCATATTCATCTGCTTGCAACATGCATGTACAGAAAGAGACTGAGAAAATTTGGAGGCTCGTCTGGCATTTTGGCGCAGCGTGGCGCAATATGGTTTTGGCAGCTCGGCGCAAAAGCGGGGAATTGTATCAAATTCGCGTAATTGGCACAGCTGTTGTACCCCTTCAACATGCATAGCTATTTTTATGTTAATGTTTTTATGTTAAATCACATCTAGACTTGGAAGAATGTAAGCCATTGTGTGGCTGACTAAATGTATAAATTCTGCAAAACATTTGCAGGGCGAAGGACAACCAGGGCGTTGCGGAAGTTTAACAGAGGAGGACCATTGGTGCATTTTCTAAATAGTGTAAATATTATGGAATGTGTGAATAAATTTTCATTCTTTCATATTTTTTTTTTCTCTACCATTGTTTTTATCTTGTATGTGCATGCATTTGAGTGTGCATTAATGTCACATTCACACTAGGTAATCCAGCCTGTGCTGTTTCCACTGTGTTGTGAAATTGCAATTAATGAAGTGCAGTGTGATGACAGCCAGCCTTCTACAGGATTGTCATTTTCTACTTGCATGCCTTCAGAATGCATATGTTCCGTGCAGGTGGACATTGGACGAGGGCTTATGGTCAAGAAAGGTGCATGGGAACATGTGCAGTCCCATCATAAGGATTCCTTATTTGTCAAGGACCTGCTAGTCACCATCTGGTCGAAAGACAACCTTAAGGAGCGCTCCCTGCATGGTTGGTTATAATACAAAAGCATAGTGTGTGTCAGTTGGTAACGGGGGAATTCGTTGTTGTGGATATCTGTTATGCAGGAAAACATTGTCCACGGTACCCTAACCGTCCACGCAAGGCTCCCCTAACACCGTGGAAGTTGGACGTAATGCGTGGTAAGTGTGCAGACAGTCTCTTGGAATGCATATTGAACCAATCTTATTCTTAGTACATGAAATCACAGCAAAGCTCGGTTGCAATTGAGTCTATTTTGAAGCCACTACAAACTTTACTGTCTGCTTTGACTTCAGTTATGAACACAATTTTACATAAACTATGTAGTTGTAAAAATGTGACCCAACACCTTGCCTCTTACTTACTATTAAATTCATTTGTTTTAGTCAGGAGTGCAGGCAGGTGAAAGTCTTAAGTCTCTTAAATGCACTGGTAGTTCAAAAAGATAGTCGAAAAAAAGAAAAGCCAACAATAGAGCTAGTGTGTAGACTGCCAGCATTTTTTTCATCATAACTTATATCTCTTTCATAAAAAATGACAAAAAAAGAAATAGTGTTCTCTGCTTTCTTCCTGCACTATATAAATCCACACAGTTACATGGTGCGAGTGGAGAGCTGTGAAATGTTACTTTTTTAGATTATTTTTGTGCATGTGCACGCTAAGTTCGCAGTTTCCTTTTTCTAATAAATGCTGGAACGGAACACTTTTGCTAACTGGAGAATGCTTTCTGTATTGTTCAAGCCTGTGCTGCTAAGGCATATTCTAGGCCATTCAGCATATAACACTTCATTGCATCAAGAAATATGACTAAAAGTTCAATTTTGAACTTTTGTGTTCTTAAAGTAATATCGATGCTATTAGTTCTTTAAGCAGCTGGTTTCTTCAAGGCTATTTATTGATAATTTTTGTTGTTTCAGACTGCTACAGAGCACGTCTGGAGCATCAAGGCGTGCCTGCAGGAGTACTGCCGTTGGCAGTCAAACAGATGAACCACTTCATTGTTGAGAAGCTTTCAGATATTGAGAAGCTTGCCAAGCGGTAAGATAAGTGTGTTCTTTGTGTCAAAGGACTCCCCCCCCCCCTTTTTTTAAGAGAAACTTGGCCATATTCATCTGCTTGCAACATGCATGTACAGAAAGAGACTGAGAAAATTTGGAGGCTCGTCTGGCATTTTGGCGCAGCGTGGCGCAATATGGTTTTGGCAGCTCGGCGCAAAAGCGGGGAATTGTATCAAATTCGCGTAATTGGCACAGCTGTTGTACCCCTTCAACATGCATAGCTATTTTTATGTTAATGTTTTTATGTTAAATCACATCTAGACTTGGAAGAATGTAAGCCATTGTGTGGCTGACTAAATGTATAAATTCTGCAAAACATTTGCAGGGCGAAGGACAACCAGGGCGTTGCGGAAGTTTAACAGAGGAGGACCATTGGTGCATTTTCTAAATAGTGTAAATATTATGGAATGTGTGAATAAATTTTCATTCTTTCATATTTTTTTTTTCTCTACCATTGTTTTTATCTTGTATGTGCATGCATTTGAGTGTGCATTAATGTCACATTCACACTAGGTAATCCAGCCTGTGCTGTTTCCACTGTGTTGTGAAATTGCAATTAATGAAGTGCAGTGTGATGACAGCCAGCCTTCTACAGGATTGTCATTTTCTACTTGCATCCGCAGAAATGTGATAATCATGTTTATAGGTCAGCCAAGAGACTGCAATTACTACACTACTACTTAGCTTCAGTTGGCTCTCTCTGCGGTTAGTCAGCTTTGTCGAACGCGAGACCACAGCGCCTTCTCGCCACTGATAACGAAAAAGTTCTAAAGTTTCAAAGCTATGAGGGCTGCCAAACGGTTTATGGTGTGTATAAATGGCTTACCGTTAGGGCTCCACGAAACGTAGGCTTTGTGGCGTAATGATTAGCGCCACGCGCTGAGAATCTAGATGTTACTGGTTCGATTCGACGTGACACATATTTGCTTTCCGATTTTTCTTTGCAATGTCTTAGTATAATGTTTCAACGTCACTTTCGTGACGGAAGTACGTCAGCGAGCCGTAGTGGACCCCGGTATAAAACACCTTCGTGTTAAAAAAAAATGAGAAAAAGAGGATGAAGCAAGCGCGAAATAAGAAAACAGAAAAAAAAATGAAAAGAAAATTTGAAAGTACAAGAAATAGAAAGAAATATAAAGAAAGATGAAGAAATAAATAGAAGAAAAAAACTGTAAAAAATAGGAAACGTGAGAAAAAAAGGCAGGAGGAAATAAAGAAAAAAAACGAAACGAAACCAGGCAGGCTGCCCATCTCCGCATTTCCCTCAGGCTCAGCACGACAAGTGCGAAGCTGCGTTGTTTTTTGTTCTTTTTTTGATACGGCTATCATTAGCCGCACATATTCGGAATCGCCAGAGACCCACCAGCCCACACCCTATGAGAATGTGATGTGTGCAAGGTCTACCGTGGCGTCCGCATTTCTGTGGAGGCGAATAGCTATACAAGCCCAAGTGCTTATGTTTAGGTTCGCGTTAAAGAGTAACGACGCTCACGTTATTAGAGGCTAACTTGCACCCGCTTGTCTCAATTTCTGAAGCCCTTCCCCTACGTCGTCTCTGACAATGATATCGTGGTTTTGTAGTGTAAAAGCTCAATGATTAGAATTATTACTATTATTAGTTTATTATTATTATTGTTAGTGGAATGCCCAGTATTAATCAGCAATACAGGGGCCGCGACTTCCAATGAAGGCCTTCAGGTGCATTGGTCAACTGTTCTGACCCGAACTGGACTAGCGACCCTGGGCGATCCGGCAGGACGAGGAAGCTGCCGGGGAAGACAGTCTCTCCATTAGCTCCTAGGTGGGGAGCCCCGCCGAGCGATATGCAGCAAATCAGTTAAGTTCTCCTCTCCCTCATTTTCCCTGAAGTAAACTGCGACTGTAGATCGCTTTCTAGGTTCTTAACTCAGCATGGAATTCAGAAGGCTGCAAACGCTGCATGAGGGGAAGCATACACGTTTGATCATTCAGCACGAGTAGGCATAGGTTTGACGGCCAAAACCAGAGGTCTAGCTCCTGTGCAGATACCTTTTCGGAACATTGAAGCAGCTTGCTTATTCGTGTGATTTGATGCAGTCCGTTCGTGTGATTTGATGCAGAACGTGAGATCTTACACGCACGTTCTGGTCATCTACCAGCTTCCAAAGGTGTCAATGATATGAACTGGATCCTTCGCTCAAGATAAAGCTACCATCCCAACTTTCCCGCTCCGATGCGACACTGTTATGCCGCCTTTGGTTGGGTGTTGCATTCACAAAGGTGTACTCCTTTCGCATTGGTATGGCAGACACCTCTCCATGCGACTACTGCGGAGCTGAAGAGACCATTGAACACGTCTTGTGCAGCTGCGCTTGCTACACCACACAACGATGCCAGCTCCGGATGGTTTTGAATCAACTTGACTCTAGATCATTTTGTGTGCAGAAGATTCTATGACCTTGGGCATCTGCCTAAGTTGCGCAGAAAGCGACTAAAGCACTCCTACTTTACTTAACGTCAACAAACCTGAGCGACCGCCTGTAGACTGTGTGCGCTCCCCCGAGTGTGCCCATGATTGTGTGTACCTTCTTATCTCTCTACAACCTCTTTTCTCTCCTTCAACCCTTCCGCAGTGCAGGGTAGCAAACCGGATGTGCGTCTGGTTAACCTTCCTGCCTTTCCTTGCATCTTTATCTCTCTCTCTCTTGATGCAGTCCTCACCAGGAGGCAGCAGTGGTGTCAGTCAACGAAGGAACCGAACATTTAAAACGCCAACACTGACACACTGGCAACCCCCCCCCCCCCCCACTTTTTGTTTCGCCGCTTTGGCCGCCCCGCGTTCGGTGTGAACGAACGGTGTGAAGGCGGTGGCAGCCAACGCGGCAGGGCGGAACGCGGAGAAATCCTCTTTTCCAGGCGGCGAAAGCAGGTGGAAAGCGAGACAGCTCGCCGCTTTGTCGCGACCAATCAGAACGCCACGCTGCGGAGGCGCGGCGGTGGCGATGGTGTACCTTCGGGAAAAATCATTGCTTTGTTCAGGATGCCCACGGCGATATGCAGGAATCACATTCAAGCAAGAATTCTGCAACAATTCGTAGATAAGCACATCAAAAAAAAAAGCTTAACAGGCCAATAATGATGTTTGTGAATGTTTTCAGCGCGTAAAAAAAATCGTTGCGCTAAATATTATAACGCTAATTCGGGATGCCGTAACGTCGCCTCCGACGCCCACACACTCACAGTACTAAGTAGTAAAAACTCGTGCTACTGGTTGTAGCACATAACATAGAGAAAGATGCGATACAAAGGAATGATTCACACCAACATGTAGACGCTTCGAGCTGATTTATTTCATGGTACCGACAAATCAATGAACATTACACACAGTAGTGGCATGCCCAAAAGGCATTAGCCCAAACGAGGCAAACGAGATAATCTAATTATGCAGTTAACTCTTTATACTTGTACACCTTAACCCTTTGTATACCAGCGTTCACATATGTGAACAAAACATATCAGTGTGCTGGGTTTCAGCTAGGCGACGCATTACAATCGGTTTGAAGCGTTGATTTAACTTCAGCATTTTATAATGATGTCTATACATGTCCACTACTGTGAATAAACAGAGTCACGCGCACACAAAACAATGGCGTTCTTGTAAGGTCGCCTTTCAATATGTCTATTTTTTTGTAAGTTCATAGTTTAGACATGCAGTCCAGCTAATGCACCAGGTCAAATGTTCTTTTAAAAAGGTACCCAAACAGGTGCAATTAATGCCCTGATTATACCACCTTTTTTATCCAGCGGCCATGGTTATACAGTGGAAAATTTACAGCACCGACAAGAGGGCCTTTTACCGAAGAGGGTCTTTCAAATAGGTTTCTTCGAACTAAAATAGTCCAAAGAAACTTGTTGCCAAGAGGCGGTAGGATCAACTACATATTGTAGTGCGCCATTTAGGTAGTTTGAGAATAAATGTTTATTATAGGCTAACTTGCACCGACTAAGTAACCAAAGCTCACCACTCAAGAACTCGATGGTTAACCAGCGAAGCTGATACATTTAGTTCTGGTGGTTATCACTGGTTTAGTCCCACGGTTCATTATAGTTTTTCTCATTCGTTGGTTGGGGCTTCACTATAACGCCAAGAAGACGACAATAGTACAGCTGGTGGGTGTGACACTGTGCAACGAAACCCTGACATCATACAGGTACCTCAGAGTGATGCTGTGTGCAGGAGGCGACATTTATAGTGAACACAAGGAAACAGTCAGACGGATGGCTCTGCGGGCACAGTGTGTTCTCCGGTGCAGAAGCATATGATGACTTAACAGATATCTCATGGTTCGCGACATGTGGAAGCTTATGCATGTGCTGGCACTGACTTCCTGCAATGCTCTTGTCTGCTTGTCTCATGCGACCAGGGAATGCTTGGAACCACGGCAGCGAGAAGTCAGCCGCGCTGCTTTGGGATAGCATGGGGCCGTAACTATTGAGGCTGTTCAAGGAGACCTCGGGTGGTCCACATTCGAGGCATGGGAGGCGGCAAGCAAACTGACCTACCGGGGCCAGTTTCCTTTTCTGCGGAAAGAGCTACTCGCCCGACAGGTCTTTGACTACCTCTCAGCGACGTGTATGTGCACCAACTGGACAAACCGCATGCCTTGAGAAGAAATATGGCTTCTTCACGGCACCTATACAAGCGGACACATGGCAGCAATATGCGAAGAATGTGTGCGACTGTATCCCGGAGGAGGAAGAGGAGCTGTGGCTGCAGGAATGGGGGGCAAGAGCTCTATGACCTCGTATGGACAACACAAGCGGACTATTCGCGCGATGTTCATATATGACAATAGACTTGGAAGCAGCCTGCTCCTCGAGGCACGAGCTGGAGCCCTACGCACCTTGGAATGCCAGCGGACTATAGATAGTGAGCAGCGGGATATGTTGTGTAGGGTCTGTGAGTGTGCGGACGAAACTATGGAACACATTGTGATGCAGTGCAGGGCAATCAAACCCCAGTGTAGAGCAGACACTCTGTTGCATGTTGCACTGGGTTTGGAGGGTGATGGCGGGGAGATGAACAGATGAGCGAGCGATGGAGATCACAAAGCGGCGTTTGAAAAGATGGAGAATCTTATCTCTTCAGAGGGTCCCAAAGTGAGCAGACCCTCCCCCACCCCCATTTTTTTCTGATAGAGTAGGCCGTCCTTCACATGCTCCTTAATAGTTTTTCTTTTTTTCCGTTTCCACTAGCTTGGGTATTTATACTCCAGTATATTTTATTGCCAAGCCACCATATATGTGGCGACCTGTTATAAAGGGAATGGCACCACATCATCATCATCATCACCACTTCTTGCTTGCTCCTCCGCCACGCGCCCCTTGCTGTCCAGTCACTCAACGCTGCTCGAAGTCAAAAATGTGACTTGAGGTTGTGAATGTGTTCCTGTGATTGAGTGTGCTTCCAATAGGGTAAGTGCTTTGTACCTTACTTCAACACCGGCTATAAGTCGTGTGAGGAAAAGTTTCCACTTTTTACGCCACCACACGACAAAGCCAGGCATGAAGCATAGAGGCAGGTGATCCCTCACAAAGACCGCGTGCTTCAACGGAAAGACCGTGTGTGCGAAAAACATTTTGCTCCCGATTTTATCTAAAAAACGTGGTCTGTAAAAATGAATGGCCACGTTCTGATGTCTGCCTAAAGAAGAGCAAGACTTTCAAAGGACGCCCTGCCAACTATTTCTGAAGAAGCGCCTAGTTACTTATCTAAGAAGAAGAAGACTCTTCGAAAACAGTCAAAGCAGCATGCTTGCCAAGCAGCTTCTTCTGCGTGCACAGGCGGGACCAGCAGTGGTACCAGCATCGGGTTTAAAACTCAGCAACAAGCAGCAACAGCCCGAAATTCAGATGAAGTCAACAAAAACAGTGATGTCGTCAAGGCAAGTGACCCGGCACTTCACCTTTCTATGAAATGTTCTGCGCAGTGCCAACTTTGTGCCTTCTAATGCCATCGTGGGGTGTACATCGCTTTGACTTGGAAGGGTATCCACGACGCCTCTCTGCTGCACACAAGTGATGGGGCATGAGTGTTTTTGAACAGAAAAACTGTGCATGTGAATAGTGACATGGCTGTGCAAGTGTATATGTTTGGCAAACAGGTTGATTGTACTGCAGTGGGTATAAACAATTTTGCTGAATCGACATCGCAAGTTGAACATATCTCGAAAATTGTTGACAGTGTAGGTGTCTGTGGTCGGGCACTCAGTTTGAAAGAGTTTCTTTTTGTGGCCCCGGAATCTGCTTTCGTTGACTTCCAAAGCAAATGGCATGACTGCGGCATAAAAGGCGCCAAATTTTGTTACCAGAGGGAAGCATGTCGTGCATGCAGCAGTCTCTTTGATACCCTCAGAATCCATGCAGAGCAGCAAGCTGCTCGAATGAAACTGCGGCAACCACTGAAGCGCATCACGCTGTTTGTGTCACGTACTAAGAATCACAAAGTTGATTCGTTGCATCATGCAACGTCTTTTTTTGCAGAATGCCCAAGCACGGCTGGCAACCATCTGATCACTAGAGAACTGAAGGAGAGTAGAGCTGAAATAATGAAACTTAAACCGCTTGTAAGCTTCTAGAACACATTATACACAACAGTATTTCATATTTTTTGGACAAACATAATATCTTAAACCAACATCAGGATGGACTCAGGAAAGGACTTTCAACGACATAATTGGTATCAACAATACATGACTTCACTACTTCAATTAATAATGAAAAACAAACAGATACAATTTTTATGAATTTTTCAAAAACTTTTGACAAGGTTTCACACAATAAATTAGTACACAAACTAGAAAAAATTCTCGGGAATGATCGACTTATTAAATTTATATCGGCCTGCTAAAAAAACAGAGAACAATTTGTAGTTTTTAACAATCATTCCTCTCACAGGTTTCCGTTGACTCTGGCGTCCCTCAAGGAACCGTTCTGGGTCCCCTTCTATTTATCATATATATTAACGACCTAGTAAATGGTATCCCTGTAAATATTAGGCTCTACGCAGACGGTTCCATTATTTACTCTGAAATAGAATCCTCAAAGAACCAAGTTTTGTTAAATGAGTCGTTTAACAACGTTGTTTCCTGGTGCGAGGCTTGGCAAATGTCAATCAATTTCGAACAAACAGTGTACATGTCCATTTCTCATAAGAAAAACAAATTAAATTTTGAATACTTTACAAACAATGCCATTCTTTCAGAAGTTCAATCCTACAAGTATCTTGGGTTATGAATAACAAATGATCTTAACTGGACAAAATAACTTGACATAGTAACTTCCAAGGCTAATCAGAAACTGTTCTTTTTATGAAGGACTTTGATACTCTGCCCTCCATCTGTCCGTGATGTTGCTTACAAATCGATAGCCCTCCCCATACTTGATTATGCTGCGGTTATCTGGAATCCATTTACTCAAATCAACATTCCTAAAGTAAAAAAAATACAAAGAGCCGTTCGCTTCATATTTAGCAGTTATGGACGAACCTCGGTAATTGAACTGTTAGTCGGAGCTAACTTACCTTCACTTTGAGAAAGAAACCACATATCCTGATTAAAATATTTATATCAAATAATTATTGGACATTACAAAATAGATAATGGAAAAATTATTTCACTTTCTTCAGGTTACGCCACTAGACAACGCCACAACGCCATGATCGTGCAATAACTCCCTTTCGTACCCGCAATAACTGCCTCTAATATTCTTTTTTCCCCAGAACTGTACAGGATTGAAATAGTTTAAATAACCATCAAACCAAAACAATCTTTAACATCCTCTGCAGCTAGTCTGGAAAAACAAAGAAAATAATTTTACTTGTGTGCTAGCTTTGTTCTTTTATTAAAATGAGTGTGATGTGCCATCGGTAATATTTTGTTAAGTTTATGTTGTAAAACGCAAGTGATAGTTATTTGTTTGCTTTGTGTTATATGCTGCCTATTATGTGAAATGTGATAGGCTGTTCCATCTGTTTGCCTGGTGTTATATGCTGATATTTACGTCGTTTGTACCTACCTGCTGAAATCCCTCCAGGGATTGCAGTATCAATAAATAAATAAAAGTAAACTCCCATCTCTCAATATTCCACTAATGCAGCTTCTTCTTGTGCAAAAATGTATATCTGCAGCTAAGGGCACTACGAAGAATAATAGGCACTATACAAATCACTGGTTGCTCCTATGCCTATTGCTGAACATCAGGAGCCGCTTTACTTACGCATTTTTACGAAGCAATAACATATTGCCGATGCCATGCACATCCACCATTAGAAGATATATAAGCATGATGAGGCTGAAATGTGGTTTTGATGACGTTTTTTTTTTTAAGCTCTCAAGATTAAATTGGTAAAGAAAACTCCATTTCAACGCAGAGGCATGCTAATTCTGGGTGAGATACAGGTCAGGAAAGGAATGACTGTAAACTCGAACATAACATACGCTGGTCTTGTTGACTATGGCAACCCAGGTGGAGAAAGAAATGAGCTGGGTGACCATGGTCATGTGTTTGCTTTTGCCCCTTTTGCTGACAGCTATTTACAACTGGTGGCAGTATCTGCACCAAAAAGAGCAACTAAGAGTACAATCCTTGCCCGGCTGTTGCTTCAGTGCATTGTGCACTTAGAGCAGACACGAGTTCATGTTGATGGCGTGGTCTGTGACTGTGCATCTACCAATAGGGCCATGTGGAAGCACCTTGGCGTAACAACAGCTCTAGGACATGTCGTAAATGCTTTCGAGCATCCACTGGAACCATTCAGAAAAGTGAATGTCGTGGCAGATACTCCCAACTTGTTTAAGTGTATTATAAATCGTCTTTATGATATGAAAGTATAGAATCAAAGGGGAAAATTGTTGAGTGGTCATGCTATGATGCACGTTTTGTTGCTGACACGAAAAGTGCAGCAGAGCTTAGGGTGTGCCATGTTGAGTTTCTCTTATGTTAATCCATAACATATGCTGAAAATGCGACTGAAACTGGCCAAGTCGCGTTTGGCGTGCCACCCTATTACCGCAGCCGCCAGAACAGAAGAAGGGCAGCCACCTCATTTTGTGGAGATAAGGAGCAGCGCCAAGACGCCCTGCTGTTTCCATGTACTGGGCGCTGCGTGGCTGAAATTACTCTACGAAGCACCGCTGTCCTTTGGGTCCGCGCAGAGATGCGACAAGTGGCGTCTTCGTGCCCCCGTAAAAGCCCCAATGCCGAGCTTCTGCCCATTAGGGACGTCAGACCACCACACAGTGCATCTCTGACTGATGAGCCGTCGATGCTCAAATCAGTACCAGATGTCCAGGTATGGCCATCAGAGGCGCCTAGACCGCGATCGCGGTTAGACAAAAGCTTGAGTGGTCGGCGCGCGAGCGGCCAGATGAAAAACACATTTCACCCCGCTCGCTGGAAGGAAGATTCGCCGGAAGAGGCAGCATTGTTGGGATCATACACGTGTTTGATTTGTGTGTTTGTTGGGAGCGGTGCCAGCATAACGACACTCGTGTGTGCGGCGGGACATGTTATTGGACAGTGCCGCATGGACCTAGTCACCAATCTAGGGATCTGGGGAGATGAGACTGTATTTAATCAGCCCTCGCAGGCTGCTTAGTGTGGTTCACAGAGCTTGTTCAACAGACAGCCTTTTTCAATGTAGAACTTCAGGCCAGAGAGCCCGTCCCATGTAAATAATGTGAATAAACCCTCTCTACCAAGTTCAACCTCCTCCTGCCTCGACATCTTGATCCCGGATCTACGGTGCCGCAAACCCCAGTCGCAACACCATGCAAATTTTCAGCAACTCAGTTGCCAAGGGCATTTCTTTCTATGCATGAAGAGGCACACCACAGCTTGAGAATGTTGAAGCAATTGTGGAGTTTACGCCCCTAATGAATATTTTATGATGCCCTCAATCGTCACTTTCCTGCAGAAGGCCTCACTCTTGAGTGCAAAGACTTTCATGTTCTAGAGTCAGCATCTAAGTGACTTGATAGCTGGGAGCAGGAAGTTGTGAAAAGTGATTTTCCTATGATCTTTTTTCAACACAGTTTACTGCTGAAGGCCTGCGTGTTACACTTAAGGCTGCTCAGGAACTGTCAGCATTTCTTCTGCAAGAGTGCGAGTTCAAGTATGTCCGAACAGCCAAAATAAACCAGATTCCGTTGGAACGCTTCTTTGGTGTTATAAGACAAGCAGGTGGCCAAAATGGGCATCCAACATTTCTGACATTTTTACGACTGTACCACATGCTTTCCTTGCATTCTCTGCTTAAGCCACCACTGTTTGGTAACCGTTGTTACGACCGGCCCTAGAGAACCAAGCAAGGAGAGTTTGGGGGAGAACCGGTTCTTGACCGACGGGGTCGTCCACCCCCACCTCCCCATTCAGGCTCCTCCTCTCACCGGGAGAACTCCGGACTCTGCTGTGCGTTCGTGACCATGTTTGGTAACATTTTAGGGCGCCGTGACCATATATGGACTCCGTGTTAGGTTGTGCCACTCCATGTGTTGTGAGAGGTGTTTCCCCCTCCCTCGTGGCCGAGGTGCCGGGGACACCGTATTGGCTGACGATGCGGACAAGGCGCCCAGTGTCAACAACGTGGCGCTATAAAATGCCGAAGACGTTTTGTATCACACTCACTCTTCTCTCTTTGGATCAGTTGATCACTTCTCCACATGTAAATAAATCTCTGTCGTTCGTTCGGGCGCTTCTTCTCACTGAATTGTTGGACGATGGATCCTGCGACGGGGCCAGCTACCGAAAACGAGACCGGCAGGACCCGTAGTCCCAACACCGTGTAGTGTCTGAAAAAAACCAATCTGCTATTCTGACCCTGAGTGATTTCATAGAAGTGTTCCAATGTGCAGTTTTCCAGCCCACTGATAAAATGCATGAACTGAAGGAGAAACTAGATGGCTTCATCAGTAAGGGAATGCCGGAATGCGATGAGGTGTTTGAGCATGATCATTTAAATGTTGCTGTCGTAGACTGCATTGTATATTATGTCAGTGGGTTTGTGTCAAGAAAACTTGCCCCTCAAACTTTCTGTACAATTTGTAAGAATGCTTCGGTTGGGCAGAAAGGTATTTCAAAGCTACCAGAGGTCGACTTAGTAAATTGCAAAACCAGAGGGGGGCTCAGACATCCAAATGTGCATCTGTTCTTTCTTTTTAAAGAGGCTGAGGAGCACTTCCCGAAACACGCTTGTGAGAGAGATGTATATGATCGCACAAAAGATGCAGTGCTTGAAAATTTCACCTTCACGTTTCTAGCATAAGTTGTCGAAACATGTGTAATTCTTTGCTTCAGGAGAAGAGAGATGTGTATGTTTAATATATTATGTGAGCAATACTGTTTATGTATACTGTAACCAGGGTGTGCCGTGACGTAACCTTTTTGTGTGTATGTATATTTATAAAGGTACTACTGCTCCATTCCAAATAAATGACATTTAGGATTGTCACCCACGCAAATATGTACGTCTGTGTCATGAAGTATAGGAGTCATAACAGATATCAAAATGACAGGTACTGGTGCAACCAGAAAATCAAACTATCAGAGTGTAATACGTGGAAGACATCGTTTCATGGTCACCGAGCTGTGCAGCCAGGGCTCGAGGACAAAGTGACGAATTCCCTAAGTACAGTGAGTGCGGAACTCATTCGCACAAAAGTCATTGAGCTCGCCTGTGAAGCTGGTCTGTCAAGGGAATAATTCAAGGGGTCTATTCATTGGGTCTGCCTCTTCATGCAATGCAAAGGGTTACCTTTCGACAGCTTCCGTCAATCTGCCAGAAGCTGCCAGAAGACAAGTTAATAGAGCTTCAACTCTACATGAATAGCCTCCTGCGGCAGCATAACTACATGTTAGGCCAGGTCGGCAGTGCCAACAAAACGCCAATGTTGTTCGACATGCCGTTGTTCACAACAGCTTGTGAACACAGGGCAATGGAGGTGAAGCTGCTGTCTACCGGAACAGAGCATTCGCGCTTCACCGTGATGCTTTCCTGCACAGCAGATGGCAGAAAGTTGCCCCTGTTCATCATCTTTAAGCAGAAGATGTTGCTGAAAAAAGCCTTCTTGCAAGATGTCGTCATCCGGGTGAATGAGAAGGGGTATATGAATGAGGCCCTAATGCGCTAGTGGATCCTCACAGTGTGGGAGCGGCGGCCTGGGGCCCTCCTGCAGGACCGAAACATGCTCATGTTGGATGCATTTTGCGGGCATTTGACGGCATCATTGAAGGAGACACTTCGCAACTATAAGACTGATCTTGATGCCATTGCGGGAGGGATGACAACAATGCTGCAACCGCTCGACGTCATCCTTAACGGGCCTTTTAAAAATCACGTGCATGCGTTTTAAAATGAATGGATGGCTGGCGACAGCCCACGGACCCAGACAAGCCGACTGCACAGGCCACCTCTTGCGACAGTTTGTGCCTGGGTCTTCGATGCATGGAGGTCTCTCTCTGCCTGAGAAATGGTAGTGCGCACATTTAAGAAGTGCTGTTCAGCAACACTCTTGACAGCCCGAAGGACGACATGTTGTGGCAGGCAGCTAGCGAAAAGCAGTCGTCCTTGGAGAAGAGCTCCGACAGTTCGAAGGACTCAATAAAGTGCATCAGTGAACAGTTCCATAGTCTTTTTTTTTTTATGGTCAAGGTAAGGAGGTCGACCTATATTCCGGGTTTTATGGTAAGTGGAGAACAAACGACTGCAAATCAGGCTACAGTAACGAACAAAAGGTGAGCATCAACTATTATTGGAACCTAACGATGCATGACACCATACAGGTGCCAGTTGAAAATGAGTTTGTGAAAGCTATGGAAGACTGCGTCCAGCCCATCGCAGACAAACTCTTTTATTGGGAATGCATGCCGTGCCATGAAATGGGCTCCTGGTTGGTGCTGACCAGCAATAGAAATTTATGACAGGGAAGATGTGACGCCACTCCGAAAACCCTAAATTTGATTGCACACGGCTCAGTCCTTGGTCGGGTGTTTCAGGGTTAAAGAAACATCCATACTTCCCGCATGTCTGTTGGAAAGCCGGCACTTCGAAAGTGAACACATTTGTGGAAATTGTTGAAAGAGTTGCTCAAATGTTCTGGGATTCGGAAAAAATATTGATATTAGACCAACCCAATGAACCTTGACAGGAGGCACAAGTGGTTGTAGGTGAGCTTGAACAGCGCATCACAACTGAGGTTGGCCGCTACAAGGTAGCACTTCTTTGGAAGAAACACTGTGGCAGTCTCTGAGAATCGCACTCAAATGGTTGGGCAATTACGGAGCCTTGGCCAAAAAATATTGCACATTCCCGACATTAGCTCAGAATATGATGCTCTCATGCGAAGCTACAAGGAGATGGATTTCACTGAAAAGGTGTTGAAGGACGGGGATCGCATTCATCCAGTTTACTAGGATTGTGCAAATATTCGAATGCTTCGAATATTTGAATCAATAATGCAATATTGAAATTCACTTCTATTCAAATTTAAATTATTGGAAACTTCAAAGTATTCGAAATGAACAAATAGGTAGTAATCCACAAGTAACCCCCTGTAAAAATAGTTTCACTGCGATTAAAGGGTGCTAAGCCAGAAAAACATCTAATCAAATGTCAAACGCGTGTGACCCCCATGCAAAGAAGTTTCACTGCAGTGGAGAGATGCAAGGCCGTAAAGATACCTCTCCAAAATAAGTTCACCTTGCTGGGAAGCCTTACTTCAAGGTTTAATGAACATATTAACCTCACATTGATTCTTCCCTTTTTAACTTTATAAGCTTACTATAACAGCTTACATGCTCTAAGTATAGCAAATATTTAAACCTCACATATTTTGCAGTATTGACTTGTATTCTTTTGAAAGTCGAATCCTGCTACTATTAAAGGTTGCTTCCACTTTCTCTGAACAAAAAAAAAATGGCAATTACATGAGCCTTATTTCAATTTTAGAAAGACATTGTGCAAACTAGTTGAGTCTTTACAACTATGCTCATTTTTCTTCATATGATATATACTACTTGAATTCGATTCAAAATTATTCGAACCATATCACTACTCACTTTGAATTACATCACTTTAAATTATTTTGGAACCTTAAAGTCATTATTCGCACAAGCCTGCAGTTTACCTTACGCCTCCCCATGCTGAGCTGTGCAATGACTCACTGACAACAAAGTTGTGGGTTGTGTTTCACATCATTGAATGACCACCTTGAAAAAAGTCCACATCTGCCTTTAAATCTTCTCAGGTTACTGATCTAGTTTCGAGAATATTGGTTAACTTTGACGGCGGATATAGAAAAGGGCTTCCTGCAGCTAAGCATCAGCGAATAAGACAAAGGATGCGTTGTGGTTTCTATAGTTCAAAACAATACCTCCGAAAAGAACAACGAGCTCCAAGATTGGAAGAGTACAGAGTGGAAAAGGTGCCTTTTAGAACCAAGGCTAATGCCTTTCTACTTAATGCTACGCTGCTGCACCATCTCAAGACCATTGAAGAGCTTGAGCTAATGACAGCTGTACTTCTCGAGAACTCGTTCTATGTATGTAGGTGATCTAGTTGGAGCGGCGATAGCGGATAAGGCTGAAGAAATCTTCTTTGACTCAAATCACATGCTAGAAGTTTCCAAATCGTGATAGCAGCAGACAGAAGAAAACGCGTAGTGGGGTAATCAGGGTCAACAGTGGAAGTGCCTCAGACAGGCTGGCCGACGTTTTGATAGGAGGGCCTATCTTTGTCAAAGGCACCTTGTCATCCTTGGCGTGTTTGTTTCAAAAGGGGGTTAGTAGTGACATCATCTCATGGTGGTGGCATGTCACCCTGTTGGTAATCGTCGTCTGAAAAGAAAAAATCTATAAAGCAGAAGAGTGCAGCCCTTGCTTCATTTCAAGTTAGGTTGCAATGTTACAAAGTCCTCTCTACTCTGAGGTTGCAATGTTATAAAGTGTTCTCGTCTCTGAGGTAGGGGGAAGGGGAAGCAAAAAAAAGTGAAAAAAGGGGGGGGGGGGTGGAAAGCAAAGTAGGAGTGATGCGCTACAAAGTGGTGGCCGCTACAGACACGAACTAAAGAAAGAGCATGAAATATTTCGAAACCAGCAGATGGGCACCACGTCTAGGCACTATAAAAGGTTGCGACGAAAGCGGCCTACGTCTATTCCTAAACACCTAAAAATGAGAAGGACAACAAAGAAGCAGTTTCAAAAAGGGAGAAGCAAGCGGCATACTTTTTAAATGTCAAGATGTCGACGATAAGCAAAACCGTATGGGGTCTTAAGAGCACGTGTCTAATGAGAAAGGTCATTGGCAAAAAAAATTTTAAGTGTCTCCGCAGGTAGCCGTTCAGTAGAATAGCCTCAAGAATATGCCAGCATGTTGGCTAAGGAAAAGGGGAATCAAGAAAGCAAAGGTAATGAGCAAATGAGAAAGAGAAAAAGAAGAAAAAAAAGGCATAGAGGGTAAAAGTGGGACGTTAGTGTAGACAGATAGAAAAAAGCCGCAGAGAACTTTCTGGATTGGCAATGACTTTGACGATGCATAGTAAAAGTGGTTTTAGAAGGGAGGAAAGATGAAAGAAAGCAATGGTTCGAAGGTTCTAGAAAATAAAACTTTCGTTGTGATATATAGACACATGCATATCTACATTTAAAATTTAATAATTTAAAGACAATAATAAAAGCGTGATCAATAGTCTAGGAGCAATTAAATGCAATACCTGTTATGTCTATTTAAAGGTTGAATGTATCTTATGTCTGTAAATCTTGTCGCAATCGTGCTATGGCTTTTAGTGATTCCAAATTTCCACGTGCTACATTGATTCCTGATGGGTGTAAGGAGTTAAATTTGTGTATCGAATATGCTTCTATGTATTTTCTCTCTCACGGTGACCGGAAATTTGCTTGCAAAATGTAAAGCTTGGCTTGGTCGAAAGTGTGGTTCTGTTGACTGAAGTGAACGGCTACCGTTTTTGGTAAATTGTACTTTGTGTCTGCGTGGTGGACGTTAAGTCTTACCCTAACTGGCTGCCCAGTTTCGCCTATATATTGTTTACTACACATGGCACACTCAAGGCAGTATACAGTCGAAACCCGCGATAGCGAAATCCCGAGGGAACGAAATTCTCACCCCAACGAAATATTTTCGGAGCACCGGCGAACGCCCATAGGAGTCAATGCATTTCGCAATTCACGACTACGAAAGATATTCATACCAAAGTCCCTCATTAACGAAATTTTTGTAACATGAGTGCACGAATAATCGACTCTTGCAACATTTACATTCGAAAACTGAAGTGCATTCATGCTACACTTAAATTGTGCAAACTATCGCTAAGAGCACTTGAGAAGCAGCCGCCATCATTGTTTACAATATAAACATAAAGCTGGCGACAATGATGATGATGATGATGGCTTGCCGAAACATCTGCTCGTTATCACAGACTACATACGTAGCCAAATCCCTGATCCTCATGAAGTTTCGTTCGTTGGCTTGGTTCCGTGCTTGGCTTTGGCGGCTTTGCGCACACATGGTCGCGTGAGTGGAGCCATTTGTGGAGAGTCTGCTTGGTCACTTGGTGCAACGTGAATCGTGCGTTGCGATTGCTTCATCCGATTTCGCTGCCTGCGAAGATGCTGCCCCAAACGAAAAAGCGGAAGTTCATCACGCTGGAAGATAAGGCTGCAATCATCAGCGAGGTAGAAAAGGGCACAAAAAAATGGACATTGTCGAAGGATTCGGCGTTGCTTGCAGCTCGTTGTCCACAATTCTCAAAAACAAGGCCTCCATTCCTGGTGAACTTCAAAACGGCACGAGTGCAAGAAACAAAACCGTGATGATTGCGGCATTCCCGTACATGGACAAGGCGGTGTTTGCGTGGTTTTGTGAACAGCATGCCAACAAGGTGCCTTTATCTGGCAGGATCCTGCAACAGAAGGTGCTGGACTTCGCTTGTATGCTCAGCCACGACAACTTTAAGGCGAGTCCCGGCTGACTGAGCCATTTCAAAGCTCGCCACGCCATCGTGGCCAAAGTCATCTCCGGGGAGGCAGCAGCCGTCAACTCGGTGACAACGTCGTCGCGGCTGCTGAGCAACAAAGAACTGCTCAGCCAGTACAAGCCCTCGGACATATATAATGCCAATGAAACGGCACTGTTTTATGAAATGCTGCCATCCAAGACCTTGAACTTTAAAAGCCAGAAGTGCCACGGTGGCAAGCACAGCAAGCGGTGCGTGACGATTTTATTGTGAGCCAACATGGATGGCACAGATAAACGACCACTGCTTGTTTTTGGCAGGAGCAAGAAGCCCCGCTGTTTCAAGGGGAATCGCAGGCTGCCAGTAAGCTACACCGCGAACTTCATGTCATGGGTGATGCGAACTATTTTTAGCAGCTGGCTCCAGTTCTTCGATGCCGACATGCGGAAGGCAAACCGGTCCGTCTGCCTTCTTCTCGACAACTGTAGCGCCCATCACGTCGACGTGCGTTTTGGAAACGTGTGCCTGGTGTTCTTTCCACCAAAGTGCACTTCGGTGCTGCTGCCCTTTGATCAGGGTGGTATTCCAGCGTGAAAAGCACTTACAGAGAGGGGTTGATTCAGCGTTTGTTGCTAAATATACAGATGAAGCGCCCCACCGACGTGGACATGTTCATGGCACTAGAGATGATCGCCGCCGCATGGATTGCGACAAATCCAGCCGTGACAATGAATGCTTCACACACGCCGGCCTTGTCACTCCGCAGGCATCATGCACTGATCCAGCGGAACCAGAAGAAGGTTCACCTGTAGGCCCACTTGATGACGGTACTGGTAACAGCGCAGTGCCGCCGTCACTGACCAGTGCATGGGACGAACTTTGTGTCGTGGCAAATGAGATTCCCGATGGCCTCAGCGTCCATGAGTTCGTTTGCGCGAACGAAGGCGTCGTCATGCACGAGGAAGTGACTGATGAAGCCATCGTCAGTAGCGGGTGCGAGGCTGCTGATCCCAATGAGCAATGACCGGAGCAGCCAGAGAAAACAACAAGCCCGCAGGATGTGCTGAATGCCTTCTACACAATTCGCTCGTTTTTCGGCGAGCACGATGACGACATGGCGATTTACCATTTCTTACAGTGTGAGTCGAGAGGCATGAAACTGCTGCTTAGTAAGGCCCGCCAAAGTAAAACTACTGATTTTTGGAAATAAAATGTGTTTCTTTTATGAATTCCATGTCTTTTCTGCAGCATTCTCACCCTAACTGAATTCCCGCAAGAGCGAAATTTTGTGCTTTCGCCGCCGATTTCGTTATTGCGGGTTTCAACTGTATTAGGTTGTTTGAACCTTGTGAATGTAATCGGATGTTGTGCTTTTTAGTGGCCGGCTGTATATGTTTGTAGGTGGCCAGTCCAGGCCACAAGGGTCAGACGTCCTAGACTTTGCTTCCAGTTTTGCGTGAACAAAATGTCTTTTAAATTAGCATTGCATCTGTAGGCGGCCTTAGGCGGTTTGGGAAAGATATACTAAGTTTCTGGTTGGTTATTAGAACTGGATAATATTTTGTGAGGATGTTGTTGATTTTAGAAAGTGCATTATAAAACTTTGTATTGAGGAGAGGCGTTATTGTTGTGATTTTAAAGTGTGGTTTGAGTGCTTCATTGCGGTCCAGTTCCAGTGCATCAGTATATGCTTTGTCATGGAATGTATTAGGATGGCTTTTGTCTGATAGTGTTCCTTTTAGGACGGTAAGTCTATTATTGTGATCCTCATTTTTTATGCATAGGCGACGTACCGTATTGACTAGATTCTACCGCACCCTCGATTGTAATGCGCACCCGGTTTCCATGACAAAAAAAAAGTAATACATCGATTACAATGCGCCGCTATTTTTCTCGTTGGCCCGCACGATCAGACCACTCAAAAAAACGACTCCTTTCGGGAGCGTCTTCCATTTAAATATGAGGTACGGGGGAAGCTTGTGCCCATCTGACGTGTAACAGAGCATTGCCATCACTGTAGTTTTACCATGGACCGATGTCAGCCCACGAACTTGCTTCGCCCCCTTCTTCTCGACGGTTGTGGTGCCAGGCATGTCGAAGTAAAGAGGCGTCTGATCGGCATTCCCGATTTGCCCAAGCAGGTAGCCGTTGTTGTGCCGCAAGTTCAGGACGAACCTCTGAAAACTGTGAAGCTTTTCATCGTACTCCTCCGGAAACTTTTCGCATATGCCCGTTTGCCTTCGGAGGGAAAAGCCTTTCCTCTTCATAAAGTTAGATAGCCAGCACCTGCTCGCTTTAAACTGGCTCTGCACTAGCCGCTTTTCTAAGGCTAACTGCATAGGCCGCACTTGGAGCAGTTCTGTCGTCACGGGTCGCTGTGCCGCTCACCGCTCAAGCACATACTCGCCGAGCAGCTCTTCAATTTGAGGAAACCGACTCCGCTATGGTCCACTAAAGCTTTTGCGTGAAGCTTTGCTGTCGACAATCTTCTGCTTTTGTTTCCGCCAGTCCCGCACGCACGTTTCGGGAACTCCGAACGACTGCGATGCGGCCCGATTTCTATCCCTTTCTGTACACGCGATGGCTTTTCTCTTAAAAGCGGCATCGTGGTGCACTCGAGTTTTTGGAGTCGGCCCTTCCATGCCATTGATGCTAATGCACTACAAGATGAACTCCTCAGCATACGTACGAAGTGCCGCACATGGGAAACACATAGGCAGAAATGGCCGACGCGCCATGCCGAGGCACGTAGAGGGCGGCCATTTTGGAAATGCCGATGGCAATAGAATGACCGTATTCATTTTTTTTTTTCGCACTCGATTCTAACGCGCATGAGATTTATGAACTTGCTTAACCAGAAAAAAGGTGCGCGTTAGATTCAAGTAATTACGGTAACCTTGTTGCCTGACTCATGAAAATGCCCTGTTTACAGTGTCTCGGGTGGTGGCTTGTATAATCTAGATATTGTTGCTTGTCAAATGGTTTTTTATACAGAGTTGTCAAGTAAGTTCATGCACTGAGCCGAGGTATCAGAGGTGAACTCTCTTGTTCTGTGACACTATGACGAAAGGTGAGCCCTACTGTTAGCCTGCGACACCTCACCATATGAAGTGGAAGCAGTCCTCTCCCAAGCTGACCACCTGAGACAGGACGCTCCTATTGATTTCGTATTGCACGCCCTATTGCAGGCAGAGTTGAATTACTCCCAGCAAGATAAAGAGGGACTTGCGAACGTCTGTGCAGCAGACCACTTCCCCCAGTACGTTACTGGCAGAAGTGTGCCATCCATAACAGATTATCGACCCTTATTGTGTATTATGGGTCTCCAGAAGCCAATGTTATAGCCAATGCCACCACAAGTGACACAATGGTGCATCAAGATGTCAGCATATGATTAAGAACTCGCGCATCGCACAAGAAAAAAAAAACACTAGAACGCTGACGCACTAAGTGGCCTGCTGCTGGACCCCACAAACGATGAACCACCCTCGCCAATTGATAGTACACTCATGTTCGAGGCCCTGCCGAACTTTCCGCTAACCACTGACATGGTAGCAGCATCAACACAGGAGTGCACTGTGTTAAAGAAAGTCTACACAGCTATACAAGAAGGCAACGTGCAGAAGCTAAAGGGTGAACACTTCAATGCCTATCACAAGTGAGCTATGCAGTTAGCCCTCATTGTGACTGCATCACTTGGTGATGAAGAGTTGTGATTCTGACAGCACTTTGCATACAAGCCATATCACTTGTCCATGAAAGCCATCGAGGCATTGTTGCCATGAAGAAGTGTGCCAGAAGTTATATGTGTTGGCCTTCTATTGACTATGACATAGAATCAACAGTGCAAGATTGCCAGCCTTGTCAATGCAGCCACAAAGCCCCATTAACAGCCCCTTTTCCTGAATGGGAACGACCAGAAAAGCTTTGGCACACCCTGCAGATCGACTTTGCTGGACCTATCGAAGGGTGTTCATTCCTGGGAAACACCAAGTGGCTTGAGCTAAAGCAAATGACTCAAACAATATTGGCAGCTGTTATCGACACTCTCTAGTCTTTGTTTGCAATGTTCGGCCTACCACGCAAGGTAGTCTCAGACAACACTCCGTTTGTTTCAGTGGACAATCACAACGATGTCTTGTCTGTTACATCAGCTCCTTTAAAGGTGTATGTGTTCGGCTACTTACCACCTGGCGATAAATGGACAAGCCGAGCGTTACGTGGCTGAGCTGAAACGTGCCCTTACTAAAGATTCAACTGAGACAATGCAACGCCCCAATGCACGCTTTCTCTCCAGGTAGCACAACACTGTCGAAGGCACCACAGAGCAAACACCAGGAAGATTGATGTTTAGACGAGAAATAAAAAACCAGCTGAAGGCACTTGTTCTGGAGTCCTCAGCGAAAACACTGTCGGGGGAAGAAAAGCTCCTGAAGAGAATCGAAACTGAATAACACATATACGCATGCCAGTTCAACAGAATAACTGGCCGGATTCAAGCGACAGCATTTAAATGCATAGGTTTGCGGTCATGGCTCGTTGACATAGGCGGAAAGGCTACATGCCGCTACACTAATCAGCTACGTTGTTGAGTTAATTTGCCAAAGCAGGGTCCCTTTCAAGCAGGCACCTCGGCGAAAGCTTTGTCCCACTTAGCCCGGCATCTCGCACCAGGTGAATCGGTGGCGCCACCTGCCAGTCCTGAATGCATGGAAAATGGCACTTAGCAAAGTGGAAGCTTCTCATGCCAACGCACCCAGAGCATACACGCACCCATGGCGACCCCCAGATCTCTTCAAAGTGGCAATGTAAGGAGGAAACAAATGTGTCCCAAAGGCACCTTTGTTCCCGTTTTTTAGACTACCATGCTTTGTGCATACGTTTGTGCATACCGGGACGGCAGCCACCTGCAGCTTGATACGGCGCTGAACATGTGGTTGAGTGCCACGGTGGCTAGGAAAATACCAGTGTCTGGCGATCTGCTGAGACAGAAAGCAGAGACGCTCGCCCTGGGCATGGGTATTAATGGCTGCAAGTTCAGTGATGGCTGGTTGAGCAACTTCAAGAAAGGTACGACCTGGCCTTCAAGCGAATGTGCGGCGAGGGTGGTTCCGTCGACCAAATTCTTGTGACCAACTACCAAAATAACAAGCTGTGCGCACTGCTGTGCCAGTATCCACCAGAAAACGTCTTTAACTGTGACAAGATTGGACTTTTCTATAAGATGCTGCTCGACAAGACGCTATCTTTGTCTGGCGAACTCTGTCATAGGGGGAAGCAAAGCAATGAGCAACTGACAGTTTTTGTGGGAGGCTGACAACAACGGACATAACAATCACCAACTGCAATCTTTCTTTTGCACAGATTCTAGTATAGTCGCCGACCACCGGACATTGAAAGTATAGGACACAGTATAGTCGGACACCGAAAATTTGGACATACCCGTTTATTCGGACACCTTCGTGACACCGCCACTCACCCCATTGAACGTAATGTAAACTCACAGCCAAAAATTCGTACGCCCCGCAGTGCACCGTTTGATTATTCGGACTTCGTTTTGACTGACCGGATACGTCGCCGTAAGTCATGAAACT